GGGTCTAGTCTTAAGTCGGCGGTGGGTTAGAATGAATAACTTTGGCAGCGCATCTCATCAAGTCAAAACTAAGGCAGTGCGACTACCTAGTCGGTTGCATCAATATTATGATCGATAGCCAATTTCTTGTTGGTGGTTGTCTGATTGTTTTGTGATGTTCGACCTGAGATGGTTGGATTGTATTTCGATCCTCTGTTATTGGATGTATCTAATGATGATCTGGATTTTATCTGTCATTATTTCAGATTGAAAATATTTTCTTGTCGACTACGGTCGATTCTTTTTTTATGGAAATATATGTGGGTGTTATAAATTTATTTTGAGTTGTATGTTTAAGGGACTAGGATACTATAGGTTTCACACTTAGTTGAGACCGTCCTAGTCGACTGGCGTACGTTTTGTTCTTAGGAGATCAGCGCCCTAAGGAATGGACGACGCTCAGGTTCAATTGACGTTTTAATCACGTGTACCTATACTACAACGAGGGAGCAAACGCCCTCGGCCGACCCACCTTTGCAATTGCATTGAAAAGCTTTTGCACGTAGGTCGGTAGCTCGGTAGGGTGGTGACAGCCCCTTAGGGAAGCAAGCTTATGCCCCGCGGGAAGCTGTCCTGTCGTATGGGACTATGGGATGTACAGCTGGCGCACCTGGTTAGAGCGACGAAGGAACGACGCAACCACGTGGCCGTTTCGGAGGTTTGCGGGATTAATTATACGCCGTCCCCAAGTTGTCTCTCTTTGTTTAAGTTTTGTTTAAACTCCTGCGTGACATGACCGGAAGGGCTCCCGCTTCTCTTACTAGAAAAGGCGGGGGCCGATGCGCTCGACAACGGGTGTGTCGGTAACTGCAAGTTTGAAAGAGTGAAAAAATAGCAGGAAGCGAGGGCAGTGGTCCAAGATAGTATGTGGTTGTTGTGGAAAACTGGTCATACCCCTCGCAGATGTAAGATGGCGAATAGAGGAGTTGAAGGGTGAGACCGTTGCGCTGTAGACAAGGGTTTGGTTCCGCTCAATAGCTATATTCTTTTCGTTTTGTCTCGTTTATAGCAAGCGAGAGAATCATGTCAGCAGTCTTGAACGGCTTATAAATAAATATTCAGTAGGTTATGACAATGTGGAAGACTCGGTTGCTGGACTAATAAGTGATTATCTGTTTATTTTTGCTTTTAAGTTGGATCTTCGAAGTTTTTATGAGACGTACGCTCCATCTCATATATACTTTTGATTCCGGGTGTGGGATATTACTTCTTGGGATTGTGCGTACATTATGGGTTTGTCTATCCACCCTCTAAGCTGATTTTTAGGTTTGGTTGAGTGCAAGTGGAGGTCTTGTAAGGTTCTATTGTTCATACACTGACGTCTTTTCATCTATGCGATAATGTTTGGGATCATTTTTGTGTATATTAAGCCTCCTATGACTTACGTGGTGTGTTATACAAGGCCATTTGTTTCTGATTGGGGACCTGAATTTTGTGATGATTTGAGACGTTTGAGGATCTGAAACTCGAGATAATCTGATTTGCTTCTGAGAAACATCTTGGTATGGGTTGTGATTCCCCCGGGGTGTAGGATCATGCACGTCTTGGTTGTTATTGGCATTCTCACAATTGTGGCCTTGTGGGTTTTCGACTTTTATTTTATTTGACATATGAGAAAAAAAAGAATAACAGTGTGGAGAAAAAATGTGGATGAAGTGTGTGAACCAAGTAGGGTTCAATGAAGTGAAGAAAGCGTGATTTTTGAAGTGAAAGATTTATGGGAGACTTGAAGAGTCTAGAAAATTATATGAAGAGAGAGGTTATGCCTAAAGGCGGCCTGGGTATTGATTGGTTTCATCTGGACTCATTTTCAAGGGTAAGATATTTTTAAAGATTATATGGATGGTCCATCCATGAGTGGGAGGATGGATGAAAAATTTTGATGGCTGATTCTCCTTCAAGAAGGAAGGGGTCTTAATACATTTTATGGAAGACCCATCCTTGAGTGGCAGGTTGGCTTGAAAGATTTTTATGATATAAGAGTTTTATCCTCCGCCAGAATCGACAACTTCATGCTGTTGGTTCTCAACTGCCAATAACGACGTCGTCTGCGGCAGGGAAACCCGCCTGATTCTGGGACCCCCATGTTTGACCTTTGGTTGTGAGTCACATATGATTTTTGTACGCGTATGCTACAAACGGTCTAGTGCGCGGCAGTGATTTCCATGATTGAGAAGATTAAGTTTTGATTAATAGCCAGTAGGAGCGTCATCTGCAGCTGGGAAACCCACCTGATTTTTGGGACCCTCCAATCGGCTTTAAAAGTGGCATTGTCAATGAGTGTGAAATAAGTGAGTCTTATTTTGGAGAGGATTATGAGATTGACAAAGTGTGTGACGAAAGCGAAGAACCCTGCTCGTAAAGATAGGAGTTATGGGTAAAAGGGGTAATTTTCTTTTATTTTGAAAGACTAAGTGAATATCACCACCCGCACCTTTGATGAATTAGTAAAATGAGTGGCTTTTCAACGACAGTAATGCCTTGCGGGACTGGGCTTAGCGGGCCCCTGCCCATAAGGTACATTTGTGGTATGTATGATGGGGTCAAACACCTTAATCTTCTAGATCAGCTAAAATATTGAGGTGTCTGATTAAATCCCATAATGGGGTGTTCTTTTGAGAAAGAGCTTATAAAAGAGTGTATAGATCATTTGAGTTTGACTCATTGATGTATGAAAAGAAAAGAGATTAAATAAAGATTGAGATCTTGAATATTTGACCCACCACTGAGTCTGAATTTTAGCTAATGGTAGGGTGATCACGGTGTCCGGCGCGACAAAATATCACTCAAAGAGACCGGAAGTGGTGTAGTCTTAAGTCTGGCATTGGAGGACTTTCCGTCCGTGATTGCAGTGGGTGGAAAGTGGTTTTATCCACCTTGGTAAATTAGAGGTTGAAAAATGTTCGTGTTTAGCCGATTATTCGGCTATTGTAGATTGCTATTTTGATCAGGAACAAAAAAATACTTTTGACCGATGATTTTATCCAATTCGTTGGAGGAATCAAGGCTTGGAGTGGATACAACTAAATGACCATTTAAGTCGAAGTTAAGAATTCGGGGAAGTTATCGTACACTTTTACTAAAGACTATGTTTTAATAGTACTTAGTTTAAGTACCTATTGCGACGGGGGCGTCGGTTAATAACGTCCGGGCAGGTTGTCGTACCAAATACCCTTACAAGGGTATTTGGCGTATTTTCTGCAAGTCACGCAAGTGCGGCCTCGACCGTCTGACAGCATGCGCAGGGTAGTTACGGCAAGGCGCGACCATGTGAAGCTTGGGTGTGCGTGGCGCCGCGGACCAGCGCGGCGCGTTGCGTCTATTCTCACTTTTTATTATTTATTTAATATTTTTCTAAGGTCTTTTAGCTCGGTGATCGATTTCAAGGCCGACGTCGAGACCAGCAAGTCTTGCTCAGCTACTAAGTTGCCAAACACGGGTGGTCGTTGTGGTAGTTGGGGGCCTTGAGCACGCGCCTCTTTTGACGAGGTTGGTTGGATTCCGCATGTTCGGGGCGTTGGCGAGATTCCTGTGTCCTGTCCATTTTCGAGCACGGACCAAAGAGGTCAAACGTGTGTGAGAGCGGTGGGGTCCGTAGTTGTGACTTCCCGCGCTTCCCATTTTTTTTAGAGTGTCGACAACCTAAAGCAGGAGGGAATTGGAGAGCAGTCCGAGCAGGTCTGTGGGGCTGCGACACGAAGGTGGAAGGGATCACTATGGGGGCACCGTCAGCCAGCCATGATCGATGTGAGGAGGTTTGAGTGTGAGCATACCGTTGGGACACGAAAAATGGTGACCTGTGCCCGAGCACAGAGGGCCAAAGCATCCCAGGGCGTTGTGGAGAGGCCGTAGCGGTGTCGGGCGGCTGCCTACCAGCCGAACGCCCTTTCAAAAACAAAAAAAAAGGACAATTAGATAACATTTGCTTGTTTTGGCATATTTTGAGTTGTGTATGTCTGTGCTGGAGGGGGCTTGTCCGGGATCTTGGGTTCTTTGACTTTCGTACTAACCTTCGATGACCAGGGATAACAAGGAGAACGGAGATCGCAAGCAGGCTTGCGCGGATCTTGAAAATCGAAGCTTTTCAAGGCCGGGGTCAGGGGCTCAGGGGTTGACAGTGGGCTTTTTAAAGGGACAAGAAAGACGCCTGGACGACTGAGGTTATACACGATGGGATTTGACTACGCCGGGGTGCGGTAAAATCCGGCAAGAACCACGAGCGAGTGCCGAACGTTCCCTTTCTTGAAAATAGCGGCGCAACTGATACCTTTGTTATGTATGGCACAAGACCAAGGGGGCTGCGCCGACCACGACAACTACCGAAGGACAGGGTTGTATGATAGAACGGATCAGGGTCGATACGATGGGGGCGTTTTCCCACGATGACCACCGTTCGGGCATCCGTTAGGATCGCTGCTTCTATATAGTAAAGTCGTCAAGAGAGAGAGGGGAAGGCGTCCTATAACACCATACAGGTTTTCGCTGAAGGGTACGGGGTGGATTTCGACTACTGCCACCGGGAGTGGGAAGGAGTCGATTCGCCCGTGCAAGGATCGGTCTGCAAGGGTGTGGACGGACGGGCATACGAATCAGGCGGAGACAAACAATATCGAAAAGGGGAGAAGGTAGAAGATGGGAGAAATGGGGGGGATTTCAACTGTCGTCAAACGTGGGATGATCCGACATGGGTGCCAGAAGGGGACGGGATTGGCTGGTGGAGGTAGCGAGGGATCGGAGAGGAAGGAGAGAGGATGGGAGAATGGTTGGAGGGATAGACGCTGAAGGCACGGATGGTGATCGAAGAGGGAATTCGACCGTGACACCATTAGCCGAGGCGGAAGCAAGAAAAAAGCAGGCGAAAGGAGAATTCGCTAGAGGAAGAAACGGGGGGGATTTGGACACTTAAAACGAAAAAGGGACCGGATGCGGGAGCCAGAGCTGGCGGGAATGCGAAGCGACAGGGCGGCCGATAACGGGCGCTGGGCGATGCGGCTCGGAGGAAGGATGAACATTTGCAAGAATGCTTCCCTAGGGCGCGCACCCTCAAATTTCTTGATAACTGTGCTCTATGAAGGAGGGGTTGATGATCCTAGCGGAGACGGGGAGAGACAACCATTAGTGGGGAAAGAGGTACGGGGGGATCACGAAGAAGAGTCGAAGGTGAGCGAGACACGAAAACGAAACGAGCGGGAAATAGGAGGAACTAAAGGTGGGATCTTCAAAAGGGGATAATTTTTTTTAGGAACGGGAGGATGAGTCCCTGTTGGAGAGGGAAGCGTGCTGGAAGGGAAGAAGGAAAGAGCGAAGCAAGGTCGAAAAACATGAGCGGGAATCGGGAGCGGGATCGAAAATTTCAAATTTGGCGCCCTGGGGAAGGAAAAATTGAACTCTCCGACCGGGAGCGTAAGAGAAGGGAGAGGGAGAAGGGATAAAAGGAGGGGGGAACGAGGAGAACAGGAAGCGTACGAAGTTGGCACATGCCTTCGCGAGGTCGCGAGCAACCAGGACCGCACTTGTGAGCGCAGAGCTTATGCGCACGGGGCATGTAGGCGGCAACTTTCAACTAGCGTTCGAGGGGTCGGAGGGACGGAGAGAGAAACGGAGCGAGAAGGTGGATAGAGAAAGAGGGAGAGGACTTGAGGGGAGGCAATAGCGGACGAGCGAAGGGCGACCACGTGTGACAGACGCGCACAGAGAGGGAAGGAGTCGGGATGCTCGTATGCACTCGACGGCGTTCGATCTGAAGGCGACCGTAGGGAGCTCGAGTGGAGGGCGAACGAGTGGGGGGGCACGCGAGAATCCCTTAGTAGAGCACGAGGGGGGCGGGAAAGTAAGAGAGAGAGAGTAAGAGGGAGGGAGGGGGAGAGGAGGACGGGACGCACGTCGAGACGCCCGGAGCGCACTAACGGAGGCCATAGCATGGGCTGCATACCTTCGAGGGAGAGGGAAAAGGGGGGAATGCAGCGTTGGTGAGGCGGCGTCAAAAGCTGCTTCGGTGCTACGAACTGCTCGCACTCGAGGTGAGAGAAAGAGGGCGAGCCTGAAGGGGGCTGCCTGGTAACTACGGGCTCCAAGCAGAGAGGGAGGGAGAGAGAGAGCACCAACCTAGGCTAAGCAACGTTGAAGGGGGCGGCTCGGTCGCTGGCGCGCTGGGCGATGGAGAGAGAGAGAGAGAGAGAGAGAGAGGGAGAGAGAGAGAGAGAGAGAGAGAGAGAGAGAGAGAGAGAGAGAGAGAGAGAGAGAGAGAGAG